TCCCAAGTGTAAATACTTCCATCATGCCAATTTCAAGGTGCCAATCTGACATCACAACACAGAGCTGGAGAGGGAGATGCACAATTGGCTCTGACAGCCAGGATGAGCTGGCTCCACACGTCACTGGTTCTCTTGGTAATATCTAATAATTATTGACCTTTAACCAGCAGTAAGTAATCTACCTCAGAGAAAAATCATAATCTTCAGCCCTGCTTCAGAAGCTTATTGCAGAGATTCGTAGAGGCATACATCATTTTATTGTGCCTAACTTTATTGCTCTCCACAGATACTGAATTTTTTTTACAAATTGAAGGTAAGACTCTAGCCAGAAAAAAGATTAGGACTTGCTGAAAGCTCAGATGGTGGTTAGCAATTTTTAGCAATAAAGTATTTTTTTAATTAAGATATGTGCATTTTTTAGACATAATGCTATTACACACTTAATAGACTACAGTATAAGTTTATATCCACTGGGAAATCAAAAACTTCATGTGACTTGCTTTATTCTAATATTTGCTTTATTGTGGTGGGGTTGGGAACCAAAGCCACGTCTCTAAGGTATGCCTGCATGTGATTTTAGTTAGTATGATAAAATAGTTCAGAGTTAAAGCTGGCTACAGCTCTGCCTGTCAAAGTTCTGGGAGCCCAAGTTCCAAATCATTAGGTTAAAAAGTGTATGTTATTACACTGCTGAAAATAAACTTGATTCACTTATTTAAATATATGAATATTTTCTGCTTTTAAGGGTGAAACATCCTCCTACCCCCACCCTGCATTCTTCTAATAGAATCTATATGCAATCCAATGGAAGGAGAAATATTAGACTTTAAAAAGGAACCACTGACTACATTCACATGTCTTTTTAGGAACCTGTCAAAAATACTTCAAGTCATATACACAGAACTGGATTCAATAAAAACTTAAAAAAAAAATCAAATCAAATCAAAACCTAGAACAGTGCAGAATCCATTTTGGCCACTTGGCCAGAATTGGCACTATATTCACACCAGTCTATGGTCCCCTACATCTGTGCAGCACAACTCAAACTCTGCACTCCTGAGTGTCGTGGCGGGAGGAGAGAACTGGACCTGGACAGGGAAGGAGGGAGGCGGGGAGCAATTAGCAAAGCAAAGGTGAAAAAGTACAGTCTGTGGTCAAGGACGTAAGTGGCTAAACTAACGCAGGTGAAGAAATGGTCACTAATCAGGCACAATTCACATCCTTACTGTTACGGATGTGAAATGCGTTAGTGTTATATATGTTTGTGTTCCTCCAATGTATTATAAGAGGTGGGGGCCTTTGGGAGGTAATTAAGTCATTGATGCTGGAACCCTCATCATGGCTTTAATGCCCTTGTAAGAAAGAGCGGGGATAAGAGACCATGCTTCTCTTTCTGCCCTCCGTCATGAGAGGATGCAAGAAGACAGCTCTCTGCAAACCACGGAATGGGCCCTCAACAAGAACTGAATCTGCCAGCACCTTGACTTCCCAGTCTTCAGAAATGGGAGAAATAAATGGTTGTTGTTCAAGCCACCCCACCTACAGTACCTTGTTAGCGAAGCCTGACAGGCGAAGACACTTAGGAGACATCATTGTAACCCCAATAATTAAACTTGACTATTGAAATACTGTACTTCAATGCCAGTTAATGAATTAAAAAAGGGCATAAATGAATTAAATGTATAAGAATGCTCCCAAGTGTTAAAATAGGGAAAAATTAGAAAATAGCCCAAATATTCAAAATAAAGGGAATATTTAAATTATGATGCATCGATTTGATGGCATATTCAGTCACTAAAATAATTTTTCAAAAGAAGTAAGTTCACAGGGGTTAAGGGTATAAAAAGTGTTGAAAATTTGTATGTAAAGTATACTTCCAATTTCAATTTAAAATGTCTTACACCTAGAAAACAAAATGGGAAGATATCAAAATGTTAAAAAATGATTATCTGCATACTGAAATTAAGGGGATTTTTTTTTCATTCTTTTTCTATACTTTCTAAATTGCCTACAAAGATGTTTTATAAGAAAAGTGAAAACATTTCAAATTTGGAAAACGTTAAATCACTTAATATGAAGAATCCTTTGAAAAGTATGCAACTTTAATGCTTCAGTTTTCTCGAATTTCTAATTTAACCCATTTATTTTGTTGAAACTTGATAGTCCTCGCATTCAGTCACATTGTTTACAGAGCTTTGTGCAGCAGAAAGGGAAGAGCTGACAGGCAAATGGAGGCTTTCCCTCCAAGGCTAGTATTAAAAATTACACCTCAAGCCTTTCAAAAACTAGATTAGTTTACAAAGCAATTAAGTAACTGAATATAAATTTTAAGGCATTGTTTCTGAGAGTATTTTTTCAAAGTACCAACTTTTAGATTCTTATACCAAACACACTACACAATAGCAAATCAAGCCCATGCAGTATCTGTCAGCTTCACTAAACCATGGAGAAACGAGATGTCAATCTACCTCAGAATCCAATGTTTTTCAATTGTATCCCTATTAAAAATCTTTTCGTATTGTGATTAAATATTACTCAAAATAATTGTATTGTCCTGGTTGCTTAGCAGTCCGACTGGAAAGGCATTTGGGGAAAACATGATCGATCTGTCATCTGAGACAATGTATATAGGAGCCTGTCATTCCTTGTGCTGAAGTATTTAGAGGGTGAGCTGTCATTCAGTCTCAGCTCCCTAAATACATGTGCAAATGTTCTAATGGGTAATATTAGACCACCTGTGTGATGTTTATAAAATGGGGATAACACACGTATCACAGGGTTGTTGGGAAGACTAAATGAAGATGTTAATTAAATGCTTTGATGTGTCAGGCACATGGCAAATGTGTTAGGTATCACTATAGAGATGCTATCAGTATTGTTAAATAGAAGTTTTTAACTGCCTCTCTTCAAATGCTACTCTACCCAACTTACTCTCTTCTGCAAAATGTTGATTAAAAATATACCAAACTACCTGGCAGTGTGGTACAATGAAAAGCGTTCAGGAGGCCAGGAAGATTTCTGCCTCTTTCCTTCCTTAGAAAAGGTACTGCATTTATAATAAAGAGGAAATGCTCCTCTGCGTAAGACATCAGAGCAACAGCAGCATCTAGAGGAAAAGCGTCCAAATTTACAGAACTTTTCAGCTGAATTTCTAGATTTCTTGGCTTGTACAAGTAGCCTGGGGGCTCCTCTCTACTCTTGAGATTGCAAATAAGCTTGACATGGCTTGAAAAAATGGTCTGGGGGGACAATTCAGAATAATTTATGTATGTAGAATACTTGGATGGATGCTTGGAACAGTCTCGGCACTGTAAGAACTATTAAAATTTTTACACACTTTTGCATTAGTCAGAAACAATATTACAGAGTTCAGAGAAAATACTGGGCGGGGCAAAAGTAGGTTTACAATTATGAGTGCATGAGAGTTTATTCTTATATTATTGTATAATCTACACAAACGGTAAACCTACTTTTGCCCCATCCTGTATGTAAGATTATTCTAATGTTCTGATCTGCATTATGAATCCAAAATGTATCTGAATTTGAATTTCACTAGACCCATGACAAGAGGCTTTGTATACAGTTCATTATTTACTTAGTGCCAAAGTCTCTTAAAATAGACCATTTTGAAAATAAACTAAGAGAATTTAATGATGTAAAAACAGTTCCATCCCAAACAATTCGTTAAATACTGGTTTCTGTCCTAAGAATTTTGGTGGAGCTACTATGTGAATGACCCAAGTGGTATTCAGAGACATTGATATAATGGCCACTCATCTCAAACTTTTCTCTTAATTACCATAAAAAAATTCTAGCTATCACTGACCTCTCATTCCTGTGGTTTTCAAAGGTGTGCCACCAGAATTTTAAAACATGCAATAAATGATATTTAGTTAGGGGCACTGACCTCTTTTTCCCTTAGAAAAAAGTGACAGCCAACACAATTGCCATCTAGTGTGAATGGCCTTTCTTGAACCATATATAGGTCATGTACTAAGTTGCATCTTATCAGTCATGTTGCAAAAGATTGCATCTGGTAATATACAAGTATAGGCACCTGATTTCTTATATATTTTTTAGCAAATCAAAGTTATACCTATTTTGCCAGATTGGCAAAAAAGTTAAATTTTTTGGTGTGCCACTTTTGTTATTTTACATGTGCCATGAGATGGAAAAGGTTGAAAAATCACTGCATTGCTATTGGTAAGTGAAACCTAATCATATCAATGGGGAGAAGTAGGGAGGGACTGTAGGAGTTTACCAAGGCAAGGGTAAACAGTCCAGGACAGGTTTGGCTCAGAAGCTGAATGCCTCTGGAGCACGTGGAATTACAGGGCATAAGACCTGAAATAAAAGCAGCACTCTTGGGCTCAGACAGGTGCGGGCTCGCTTCCTTGTCGATGCCTGGACGATCCTGGTGCAACTGCCTGTTTCCCAACAGACCACAGCCTAGCATTCTAAATGGAAATTTAGAATTTAGAATTTAGCTCTGGCAGAGGGGTGGCAGGGTTATTCTTTGGGTGTTCTAGAGGGGACAACCTCTGAGGTAGAAGGCTGCTGTTCTTCCAAAATTGTGTAGCCTTTGTATCTTAAGTTGTTTTAGTTTGTAAACTAACCCTATAGGAATAAAGTAATTAAAACTAAACGGGTGAAAGCTAGAACTCAGGTGTTACAAGTTTAGCCTTGATAGGTTTAACTGATTAAAGGTGCATCTAAAGAGTTAAAGAGTTAACCTTATTGATAGGCTTAAATGACTAATGCACGGGGAAAGCTGTTATTCCAAAAACTGTGAAGCTTTTGAAGAGATTCCTTTCCTTTATCACCAAATCTTCGCCTCTGGAATTTTGCCTAGCCGGTGGCGGCCGGCAGCAGGACCCAGTTGCTGTTCGGTAACACTGTCATTCAGAAAAAGGAAAAACTTAGAAGATACACAGGGTCCCAGAATATAGACTATATCTAACCTGTATTGTAACCAATTACAACAAATAACAGAAAAAGCCTTTTAATTATTATTCAAAAAAGCTTCATTTTTTTTTTATTTAGCTTTCTGACTCTGTGCTTGTGCCTTCAACACTTTCACAACAATCTTCTGCTCCTCAATAAGGAAAGCACGCTTGATCCTAGAGAAAAAAGTATTAAATGAATATAGTTAAAACCCAAGTAACAATGATTTAACAAAGATGGAAAAAGCCCCAGGAAAGAATTAAGCAAAATTATCAGGGAACGCACTAAGGAAAGTAAAACCCACAAATAAAAATTAAAAACTGAAATTGTATGGACAGACGTTTCTGCCCATGTAATCTTCCTACGCTGGCATTTAAAGCAGATACCTACCCTCTTCTTCGCAGTCATGATAAATACAAAATCATCACCACAGTAGGCTGCTCTCTGCTACTATAGTAGCTTTCATTTAACCACACTTCATTAGGATCCAGGGCTAACGACATTACTCGATTTGTAATATGTCTTAAAGCACCCATTTCTGAAAATTCCCAGTAAACACACAGAAAGGAATTACATGCTGGGAACCAAAATGAAGAGGTGCTTTATCAAGAGCAAGGATTCTAGAGTCTGAATGTTTGAGGCCAACTTTATCATTGTGGTCCTGGGCAAGTTACCTTCTCCTGTCATTAAGCACAGAATACTTCCATACATATTTCACAGGGTTTTTAAAAGATTGAATTTGGAGGGATTTGCAATTTCTGTACTCTGAATTTCCATTTAGAAAGAAAGTACACTGTGATCAATCACTGTCATTAGTGTGTAGGACCTGGCAAACAGCAGGTACTATACCATTTGTTAAATCAGTTACCTCCAGAGCTAAAGCCCTCATTTAATTCCCACAGAAACTTGTCTCACCCATGTTCCCTACTGGCACCTCTGGTTACTAATAGCCTAGACTCTGAACCCATGGATTCCTGCTGTAATCATATTACAGAAACACGACTGATGCCACTCTTACCCAGGACACTTAAAAATCCCCCAAACTTACACAAAGCAAAGAACACACAGGCTCGCTCAGTGTCACAGCTGATGCTAATATAAAGGCTGTGTTCTAGATTCAAACCCAACTCTCCAGAAGCTAGGGCCTGAGAATTGTATTTTTAATCAATGTTCCCATGTGAGTGTATCTGGCAAAGCCTGGGAAAAAGACTGGTAAAAAAGCCAAATTCCTCTTGCTGGAAATGTATAACCATTTCATCTCCAATGTGCCTTTCCAATTTTTTTTTAAAAGATTTTATTTATTTTTATTTATTCATTTTTACACAGAGTGGAAGGGAAGGAGAGAGAAAGAGAAACATCCATGTGTGGTTGCTTCTGGCAAGCCCCCTACTGGGGAGCCGGCCTGCAACCCAGGCCTGTGCCCTGACTAGGAATCAAGCCGGTGACCCTTTGGTTCACAGGCCAGCATTCCAGCCAGGGTCCAATTTCATTTCTCATTCATTTCACACCCTCAGGGTAGCCAGACCAAACCTGTGTGTGTTCCTTGCCTGCAGTGCCCTTTCAACCTCTTGGACTTATTCATCACTCAGCTTCCACCTTAAATGCCATTCCTGGATTCCCAGCCACTTGCAAGTAATTTCTCCTCTTAACTTCAGAGCTAAGTTCTCCCGCATTTCTCGGAAGTTATGTAGAGTCTGGTAGAAGTAACGGCTGCTTGAGTGTGGTTGGTAAGGTAATAATATGGATGTAATAACTTATACTTTTAATTTGCACATTTCACCTAAAATGTCACGGTGTGCTTGAGTGTGATACTGTTTACAGAATTACATGCTTATGATTTTGTAATAAAGACTAAGTATTAAAAAAGGGGTGTTATTTGTCCCAGATCCTGTATTTATATTCCTGTAACCTGCCTTACCATCCCCTTACAAATCAACTCCTCCTAAAAGGCAAAATAAATTTGAAAGTTGGGTGTCAGATTTGCTTTAGAATCTTAACTAGACCACATTACAGAACTATCTGAATAAACTGGAGGCACACTACTTTTCTGAACCAACTTCTTCACTTGTAAAGACCTTCACTTCTCAAATCCTTTCACTTAGGTCTTTGAATACAACTTACTATAGTCAGTGGGGTTAAGTGCAAAGGTCTTGATAAAACATAGCATAAATTCCAGTGCTGCACCTTATCAGCTGTGTAAATTTAAGCAATGCTTCTTGGTTTCTTCACAAAAGCACAGAACAAAAACAAACACGTAACAGAGACATCTCCCTGATGAACTCGCAGTACTCATTATAAAAATGCTGAGTACATGTTCCCATCATAAATTCCACTGCCTCCATTCCTGCCTATGCCGCTTTCACATATCCAAAGACCTCGCCCTCTACCTGAAACTCTCCCACCCAGCTTCCAGGTTTTAATGAGGGTGTCATGTCACTGACCCTCACAAACTAGAGAAACTGTTCCAAGCCCTCGCCTTTTGTTGGAAGAATGATTTCAACATCCATCCTGCTGCAGTTTTAGTTTCTGGCACACCAAAGGTTTCCCCGCCCTCCTCAAAACCCTTCAATTCCCTCATTTTAAGAGTCATGCTAAAAACTGCCCATGATCTGGGACTTTCCCACTTTTCTTGTCTATCCCACTATTCTCTCCGCCAGCCAAACTGAAACTACATACACCTAGTTCGTTCCTATTTTTAATACTTCCCACTATCATCGATCTTAATGCCCTAGTAACTAATAGTTTCTTACCTGCCTCCCCTACAAAACCAAGGTCATTTTAATTTCATATCTAGCACAAAGAAGGCCAAAATCCTAAGGAATTATTTTGAACTAGTATCATTTATTAGTTTATACAGCACAAATTATCCCTAGTCTAGTCAGGATCCTAAAGCATGCAACTTTTGTTTAAACGATCTTTTTCATCCATCTTCTAGGAACAAACAGCATCCACAATTAGACACACACACACACTTGTTTAAGAAAGCCCCTTTAAGAGTTATATTTACCTGTCACGGACACATTTAGCACACATGGATCCACCATAAGCCCTGCTGACATGTTTTTTTGTCTTAGACAACCTCATTAGAACTTTAGGTCTCACGGCACGAACCTGCATAAAGAAAACACTGAGGTTATTTTCGTGATGCTTTTACAGAAACAGAGCTGGGGTTTTTTTTTGGTTTGTTTTTTTTTTAGTAAGTGCTAAGTGCAAACATTAAACTAGGTTACAAAAGGGAATGGTGTACTGATTTATGTGAAAGGTATCTACGTTCTTAGCAGCAGGTCTGGACTGTGGATGCTTAGCAATTTTTCACCTCCCCTAGTGGTGACCCCTCCCTCACCATTCCTATACCAGGAAATTAATGCTCAAAACTTCAACCCCTGGTAATTTTTTCATAGCAAAATGCTCACTTACTCCGCGAAGTCGACCTGGGCACACACCACATGCAGATTTTGGTGCTTTCCCGACCTTTTTGGTATAGAGGTAAACAATTCTATTGCCAGGGGTTCGGGACCTAGAATGTGAGAAAATAGACAACAGCTCAGCATTTTGCAGAGTAAATGACAATAAGTATTTTAAGTTTTAGAAATACTTACAGCCTAGTTTTGTTAGAGGCTGTATTATAGGACAGCCTCCGGCGGTATGTCAAACGCTGGACCATTGTGAACACCTAAATTAAGAAGGAATAATATTTCATTGGAGAAATAATTTGCTTTAAAACAGCATGATATAATTTATACATTATCCATAATATCCTTAATTAAGGTACCTTATGAAACGGGTCCATTTTTTGAAACTACTTATATTAACCTGGCACATATTAGATGCTCAGGGTTCTGTGTCTTGACTGACAGCAGCACCTGGGCTCACTTAAGTGTGAGCCATTTAATACTAACTTTGGTATTACTTAGGAAATTGGTAATACAGATATTGGGTTGGCGAAAAAAATCCATTTAGGTTTTTCTGTAAAAGACATATTTTTCATTTTCACCAATAACTTTAGTGATGTGGATATTTTGAGCATGGCAGCTCTCTCTGGCTATTGGCTTCTAGTGGGCAGAGGCCAGGGGCGCTGCTAAACATCTTCCAATGCATAAGACAGCCCCGCATCAAAGAATTATTTGCCCAAAATGTAAATTAATACCAGGAAACTTCACAAACCAGATTTGATCAGTCACAGCACCTTCGCCATACACTGCACAAATCTTTTTTTGCGTTTCAGTTGTTTTTAACCTTCCTTGAAATAATAAAGTAAAATATGCTGAAAATGTGTATTTTCTTCCATCTTGAATATTAAAATGACTACCCAAAAATTCACCAATTTTGACTTTTTTTAAACGCACACTGGTATGACAGCTGTCACAATACAATCCAACAAAATTGTTTCAAATGAAGTTAAAACTAAGCACTACTAGAACCATGGTGAGGAAAAAACTAAACGAACTTTTTGACCAACCCAATACGTATATGAATGACTTAGTTTTTCAGTGAACTACCAAAAGTAACATAAAAAGATAAGATTTGAATCAACCTCATTTTTTATCCCGAATTTTCTAACCATTTCATCACATTCATGTTATTTGAAAACTGCCTGCATTTATTATTACAAGACCCATACTAACATTACACTAAAACACAACTGTCAGACGCCAAAACCGAAGCAGAAGGCCAAGGCGAGTGACCCAATCAGCCACTGTTGCGTTTGCATCTCCAGAACTACGATAAAAAATTCCTTTTTAACACATCAAAAAGAATCTTCCTTGCTACTGGCCTTGGGGGAAAAAAAAAGTTTGACAGAACGACATGTTGGTCGTCTGCCCTCCCAAAGCCTGAGAACATCTACAGACGCGGTGTTAAAATACGGGCGCAAGCACGAAAATGCTCCACCATTTCCCAGAGTCTCAACTGCCACATTACAACTCGTTTGTCTCCAAATGCCGGCCTTTACAGGCGGCGACGTACCGGACGGTGAGCTCCAACCCCTCACCGCTCTGGAGGTTAGGATGGAGAGTATAGGAGGCTAAAAGCCGGGGACTTGCTCACCACCAACCTTCCTCCGGAGCCTTTACCCCTACTCCAGTTTAAAAGATTGCGTCTAATAGATCCCGGATGCCGCAGCTCCCTGGATGGCGGCCGATGGTAACGGGAGTAACTACTAGGAGAACGAAAGACCAGCCATACCTCACGACACCGTTCCCGGAAGAGGAAAAGGAAAGCGCTTGTGAGTTCAAAGGCGAAATCGACTGAGCAGGACAGGAGGTTACGTCAGAACCAGAGGCTTGGTGAAAGAGTGCCGCCATGTTGTACGGACGTAACGCAGCCTATCCACAAGGACGAGGATGCCACGTTGTACGGCACCCGACAAGCCTCTCCTCTCTGGGTGAGAGATGCGCCTCAGCTATCCACTATGATGCCACGTAAAGATCTTTTGGGAATTGCTGTAGAAGCAAATGCAAGTGACAAAAGAGCTGCGAAGGGCAGAGCTGGGAAAAAAGATCACTATTTTTCGTTTCTAAGGGCGCTAGGACACATTTAACCTGAGGAGCGCCAGCTTTGGGGTTAGACCTGGGTTTACATCCCAGTTATACTAAATAGGTGACTTTGAGGAGTTACTGCCTTTAATTTTCCCTTATTTTTCCTTGCCATTCAAAGCACAAGATTTACAAACTGGCATTTTAATCCAGTATCTGCTAGTTATTAGCTGTGTTATGTTGGGCAAGTCCTTAAATCTCTAAAAGAAAGATATCAGTAACTACCCTGCAAACTTATGTCAAGACCAAAGGCATCATGAAGTTAAAGCACTTACTTAGCAAGAGCCTTGTAAGAGAGTAAGTGCTCAATAAATGGTGGCTAATCTTATGATTATGTACAAAGAGGTACTTGAGGCTTCATATGGGTGGTAAAGTTTGAAGTGGGCCTCGAAGACGAGAGGAAGAAAAAAAACTCTCTAAAATATTACAATAGTATGTAAAAGTTTACACTAAGTGCCTGTGTATATTTTTCTGAGAAGAGGGTTTTTAGCTTTCATTGTATTGTCAAAGGGTTCATGGCCTCCAAAAAAGTAAAGAACACTTTGCCTGACCTCAAAGGAAAAATGCTAAAAATTTCCTTTAAACTTGTAGATCGGGCGCCCTGGAAACAGCGTTGCATGCTGGTGTATAGGGAAGTGATCTTAAAAAAATACATCCGTCGCCCTGACTGGCGTGCCTCAGGTGGTTGGCCGTCACCCCTGCAGAACGAAAGGTCGTGGGTTTGATTCCCAGTGGGGGCACATGCCTGAGTTGCAGTTTGTCTGGGTAAGGGTGTGGTGTGCACATGGGAGGCAACTAATCAGTTTCTCTCACATCGATGTTTCTCTCCTTCCCTTTCTCCTTCCCTTTCCCTCTCTCTAAAAATAAATAAATAAAATCAGAAAAAGAATACACCCACGAGGAAGGTAGGATCAGAGGATCCACAATATGTTTGCAACTGAGGCTTCACCTTGTGCATCAGGGTGGCCTGGAATCAGGTTGGTTCTTCCTAGTCGTTGTCCCAGACAGGAGAGGGAGCAGGCCTTTGCGCTTGCACATCAGCCATTCCTTAGCCTGGCTGCCTCCAGGCAGTAGATGAGGCAGTTTCCTGAAGCTGAGAGCAATGTCCAGTGAGGAAGGCAGCTGGCACAGCCCCACTGACCCAGAAGAGAGGGGTTGAAAAGAGCATCCCAGTAGTTACTCCAGTTTCCTTGCAGGTTTTCCAGTGCCAGTTTTGAGGTGAGAAAGCAGGCAAGTGGCTGAGGGAAGCTGCCAGGAGGGTCTGCTAATCCCATCATCTTTCACATCCCTGCAGTCTTGTCACCATACCAGATGGAAGGGTGTGGTGGAAGGCTCCGGTTATACTCTCGCCTTTGTGGCCTGAAAAGAGCTGCTTCTCCCCTGTAGTTGTGAGTTACTCCTCTTTCCCAGTCCTCAACCTTTTGTCCTCTGGAATCCCTTTCATCTCTGTACCTGGGATTGAGATGAAGGCTGGGATAGAGAACCAAATGTAGTTTTTGAATGAATGAACAAATGAGTGCATTTACTTGCAGTATATTCTCTATATTCCTAGAGACACTTTGCTGGGTAGATGAGTACAATAGTTTGTGGGAGCCCTTAGTACACTAGAATGTAGCTTACCTGTCTTGCTGTGTTCCCCTCCACCCCAGTAGATAAGAACAGTGGTCTCACTATCACAGTTTGCCCTATTATACTTAACCCAGTTCTGCAATGTGACTTTTCTCTCTTTCAATCTGTATTTGCATTTTTTCTCGATCTGTCTTGCCAGAGATGTGGTGATCTTATTTGAAATTAAATATTTCAAAGAACCTCATTTGTTTTTATTAATCTTTCTTTTAGTTCTCTGTTCATTAATTTCTGTGTACACTTATTAAATATTTTATAAACTTTTGTAAAATTGGAATAAGATGAGCCTACCTTGATTTCTTCTGCCTTGGACTGGGAAGCTTTGAGGTTTAAAATTCATTTATTTAAGGGAGTTTCATAAAAGTTATTAATTTTAATGTGGTCAAATTTATCTTTTCTGAGTTGTGCTTTTTGCATCGTTTTAAAAATGCTTTTCTACTCTAAGGCCTATAAGATATTCACTTATGTTTTCTAATGATTTAAAGTCTTTAGAGTTGATTTTTGTGAATAGAGTGAGTTAGGGAAACACTTTTCTTTGTTTCAATACATATAACCTTATTTTTTCCAACTTTATTTACTGTATAGTCTCTCCTTTTCCTGCCAATCTGATAAGTACCAAAGTTCCATACATGTAAGGGTCTGATTTTAGTTCTCTATTCTATTCCACTGGTCACTGTTTTTTTTTCTTTATCAGTTCTACATTTTCTGAATTCTTTAGCAAATCCTAACTGTTGGAAAAGCAAATATGTGCTACCTTTCTTTTTCAGAAGGGAAATTCTTTATCTTTTTCTCTTCCAGATACATTTTAGATTCAGCTAATATGAAATTTGTTTGTACTTGCACTGGAACTATGGATCAATTAGAAGAGAATTGGCATTTTTATGATATGATTTTTTTTGTAAGTATGACTGTATCTCTGTGTATATTTAAGTCTTCTTTAATACCTCTTAATAAAGTTTTATAATTTTTCTATTGAGATTTGCATACCTTTTGTTAGATTAATGTCTAGGTACTTGACACTTTCTGATTCTATTGTGGGTGGTGTTTAAAACTATATATTTATACTTAAAACTATATATTCTAGTGTTTTGTTGCTGGTATATAGAAATGCAATTGTATATTAATTTTACTTTTAGCCATCTTGATAAATTCTTCTATTGTTTTTAGTAGTTTGTGTGAAGATTCTTTTGGATTCTCTGTGATTCATTTGAAGCAATAATTTAAAATCTGCACACATAGAATACAAATACAGCTCAATAAATTTTCAAAAACTGAGCACACCTATATCAAGACTCCATACTATCAGTTTTCCAAATGGCCCTTCTAATGCCTCCTTCCATTCTCTTCCCCTTTTTCCAAGGGTAACCACTATTCTGACTTCTACCCATAGATAAGTTTTGTCAATTTTTGTACTCTATATAAATGAAAAATATTCTTCCTTATGTTTGTAAGATTCTTCTATATTACTTTTTATTCTTCCTGCTATGCAGATTTCCAATGAGCAAACATACTACTCTTCTCTTGAGGGACACTAGGTAGTTTCTAAGTTTCGGCTGATATGGTTAGTGCTGCTATGAACATTGTAGAACCTGTACTTTGGTGAAGATAATCTACACATTTCACTTGGGTATATACCTAGAAGTGGAACTCATGGATGATAAGAGTATGTATGGTAGGTAGAAGGCTACATATTTCAAGACATGGTCCCAATGACTTCTGTGCCATGGCAATACTCTCGTAATTATGCATGGCAAAGGGGTTTTGATGCTGTAATTAAGGTTACCAATCAATTGACCACAAATAAAGTCAAAATTAAAATTGGGCTGAAGGACTATGATGTGGAACACCAACAGCTTCTACTACGCTAAATATACAATTCAAGGTTGGTGGTTATTTTTTTCTTTCAGGACTTTGAAAGAACCCCTCTATTGTTTTTTGGTTTCTGTGATCTACTGAGGTGTTAAATTATTCTTATTTTGCTCCTTTAAAGGGAATTTTTCTTTTTCTTTTTTTTTCTGGTTGTCTTTTGCAACATTATCTTTTTAGATTTGGTTTCCGTTGGTTTTACTATGATGTGCTTAGGAGTTCTTTTCTTTTTATTTATTCTGTGGGGTTCATAGTAGTGTTGGGAAAACTGGACAACATGCAAAAGAATGAAATCGGACCACTATCTTATACCATACAAAAAAATTAACTCAATAAATAGATTAAAGACTTGTATGCAAGCCCTGAATTCATAAAACTCCTAGAGAAAAACATAGACAGTAAGCTCCTTGACATCAGTCTTGGCAGTAATTTTTTTGATTTGACACCAAAAGCAAAGGCAACAAGAGGAAAATAAACAAGTGGCACTACATTATACTAAAGCTTTTGCACAGCAAAAGAAACCATCAAAATGAAAAGGGCAGCTACTGAATGGGAGAAAATACTTGATAATCCTATATCTGATAAGGGGTTATTATCCAAAATATATAAAGAACTCATGCAACTCAATAGCAAAAAAAAAAAAAAAAAACCCAAACGAACAAAAACAAAACAAAAAACCAGAATACCCCAAGAAAACAAAAAACCCAAACAAAAAACAGCAGTCCAATTGAAAAATGGGCAGGGAATCTAAATAGACATTCTTACAAAGAGGACATGCAGATGGCCCACAGGTATATGAAAAAAATAATCATCAGGGAAAAGAAATCAAAACCACAATGAAATATCACTTTATGTATGTTAGAATGGCTATTAGCAAGAAGATAAGAAATAACAAATGTTGGTGAGGATGTGAAAAAATGAAACCCTTGTGCACTGTTGGTAGGAATATAAATTGATTTAGCCACTGTGGAAAACAGTATGGAGATTTCTCAAAAAATTAAAATAGAACCACGATATAATCTAGCAGTTCCTATTCTGGGTACAGCAAGTTTTCACTTAATGTCATCAATAGGTTCTTGGAACTGCAGCAAAACAATGTATAATTAAATCAATTTTGCTGTAGGCTAATTGATACAAACATGAATTAAGTTT